CTGTCACAAAGTAGTAGATTTTCTTTTCCTTGCACTTTCAAATGCACTGCCTGCTCCTTTGTATAGACCTGCAACAGAATTTACTCCATCCTAAGCCATAGTGAAAATGCTTATTATCAGGTGACCTTGATCCTGTCTTTTATGACAGGTTTTTCCTCTGTAATGGTATCAAACTTCCTCCCATGTTCCTTGGGGTTTTCAGAGTTTCTCTGTGTAATTGTGCAGTCATCCTCCATATGGTCTCTGGTTCCAAACTTGGTGGTTCTATCCAATTCAGTCAGTGTGCTCCTCCTTTTTGTGCTAACACAATAAAATGGAAAGAGCTACCAAGGCTGGTCAATTCCAAGCAAGGTTCTTGAGCAGCGTGACTAGTTGCTGTCTTCTGGTCTAATTCCTTCATAAATGTTGCTGTTCTTTGCCTACCTCACAGTTCTTAGGATTCTGGTATAGATGATGGTTTCTCATATCCTACCCTATCACCTGTGTTATGCAAACCCAAACTGAGAAGAACTACTACATATCCTACGTTGAGAAAAAGCAGTTTAATAACACATAGATGGAAGGTTCATTTGACAAAAACTTCCTTTGGTGTTCCATTCTGTCTCCTACACTTTCTCATCACATCCCCTCCTTTCCTTTTCTTATGGACAGGTGGCCCATTTGCTTTTCTTCAGTCACACAGTTGTGTTCCTGTGCCATAAAGACAGGAAAAGCCCTTATTTCTCACTCGACAGTTCCATGTACCAGTTCTTGCAGAACCTGGCAGTGGGGATTAGCTAGCTCCTGACAGTATGAGTTGATTCACTTCTACATTTGGCTTTTGCCTTTTTGTGGTAGTTGTGATCCAGCGCCTTCATTCCCAGGAAACCACTTGTATTTTCCCTCACTTTTTACAGTGTTACCTTTATTTTAGCACAAGATCTTTGTCATCTAAGGAATCAGCTCACTTTTCTCATCTCACTTTGCTCAGCAGACTAAGAATTTTGTGCATACAGAGAAGAGTAGAGCCCCTATTCTATAGTTAACATGCAACCTCAAGCATGTTTTGACTTAAACTTGAGCCTCATCTTCATTCAAATTATTAAGTTCCTCTTCAGCTTTAATGAATTATTTTAAGCTGAATTCTGAGTTTATCAAAGTTTGGTACCTTGAATTTCAGAAAAGCAGCAACAGCAACCAAAAAAACTCCAAGCCAACCAAACAAACCCCTTCGTTGTAGACATGGTTTTTAGAGTTTAGAGACTGTGATGTCTCAGTCCATAGCAGGGGCAGACAGGATGCATCTGTATGATTAAATGACAGAAGGGGGGACAGGCTGACGTGTCTTGAGATTGTTGTGTGATACGCAACCTTGTTCCCTGGTTGGTCAAAAGAGGAATTTGCTAAAGGAACCCCCAGCTCTACTTCATTCAAAATAGGCAAAGCGTCTATTTTTATTGTAGGGTCTGCAAGAACCACCTGATCTGCTCTGCACAGACCATTCCTGGAAGAATGTGAAAGACTTTTTAAAGGAGTTCTGTGAAGCAAATAAGGTTGTGTTTTACAGAAAAAGACAGATGTCAAATAAACAAGACCATAGAAAACTAACACTTAAAACTGTGAGACTTTAATGACAGAAGAAACTGCAAAGCCTAATAATAGAAGAGAGGGCCTGCCAGCTTAAGAAGTACTGTTGAGCTTTGCAAGTATAGCTGCTAGGATCAGATCTCTTTCCTAGATCATGCTCTTATAGTTAGAAACTACAGGGATGATTAGACATGCAAGTAAGGAACAGCGTGAGTGCTTTAAGAGGTTTACCACTTTCTGAAAGTCACATAGCAGCTTACAATGTTTGTACTCAAAATGTCTGTACAGATGTGGACAGGTTAGCACAAGAGATCATGAAAGTTCAGCTGCGAAATGTTTCTTTGAGGTGTTGGTCTGGCTCTAGATATAACATTTTCCATTGATTCAAGGAAGACCAGGGTTTCAATTAGACACTAATCAGCATTCCTATGTGTGGCACCCTTATACACTTGGAATATCAAAACAGTTCTAATCTGACAGTAATGCAGTTCCTGTGACCTTTTCTTTTTTAATTAGAAAATTTTGTGTGTGAAGTAGACTTATACTCAGTTCAGGAATGACTTTGTCATCTAGCCTAGGAAATTCTAACAAGGTTAATATTTGCAGTTTTAAGAGGAGGGAAGGGGATTTTGGGTGGTTAAAATGTTGAAATACTTTTTCTATTCAAGCCCCTATTAAATGTTATCTTTCCAGGTCTTGCCTGTAGAGTACAGTTGAACTGAAGAAATTTTCTGCCTGAAGCCAAAACAAACATAAAGTCACTAACAGAAATAGGGCGGGAGCCTTCAAATAGAAGATGGTACTGGTTACTGGTTTCAGAGGTGAAGAAAATACATTTAAAGGTAAGAGAAAATGCAGGAAGATTGCTTGGTACAGCCTGAAATAAAAGAACCTCTAAGTTTACTTACAGGTTTTTGTGACTGAGCATTTAGGTGACCTTGAAGGCTACTTTCGATGGTATTTTGTTGATTTTTATTATCACACAGCAAAGTATAAACCTTTTTCTCATAGGAATACAATGAGGATGTTTATTGGATCTACTCTGCAGCTGTTGGGAACGAAACAAAAAACCCACTTTGTTAAAAATGTGATTTTCAGTTATTAGGTATGCACTGATAATTATCGTGAGGCTTATTTCCTAGCGTAAGCCTTATAATTCCAGTAGGATGTGGGCAGTATGAAGGCCATTTACGTATGCCCCCTGTTCATTTTTCTATGTGTTTTGGTCTTCTACTAGAGACCACATCCAAAGCCTACTGAAATCCTACTTCAGTAGGTTTTAAATCAGATCTTACTTTTCTCCAACATTAGGTGAAACAACTGCATTTATGCGTTTTAGGAATTACTTTTGCAGCACACTGCTTATAACCAAATAGTACGGTTGCACTGGGTGGTGAAAGCAGTAGGAATTCCCTTTTTCCTTGCCTCTTTGCAACTCTACCCTCAGGTCCCTCTCCTAGTCTGGATTTGGGTATGTAGAGATAAATAGGTTCTATATTCCTCTGGGTCCTATCCGGCTCAGAGAGGTGAGATTGGACTCTGAAGTGGGATATAACATCCCATTTTTTCTTATGGGTCATGGGTAGGTTACTACATCCATGAAGTGAAGGACGGCACTCCTGAGCAATGCAGCTACATGCTTGTTCTCCCCTCGGGCTGGAATTATAGCCGTATTCCAGTCCATAGCATAATCTAACCATAAATGCAGCAGCACAGAGTCAGCACTTACTATGTTTGAAATGCCCATCTGTCATAAGCAATTGCGGAAGAATGGCTCTGGTCTGAACAAGGACTACACAAGATTAGCTTCTGGGAAAGGATTATCACACAAATGAAATCTATTTAAACTTTTTGTTTATGTCAAGTTACATAAAATCAAAAGAAGGATGTGGGCCTGCCCATAGCCTCATAGAAAATAATGGGTTAATATTTCCTTAGGGTAGTGTGAGAGGTTAGGACATAAACTGTCCATTGAATTTGTGCCTAAATCTTCTGAGTGCCTTGCAAAACCTAGCAATGTTCTCTGCTCTGAAGTATTCAGAAGTTGCTATTTTTTAAGCTCCCTAGCTGGTATAAATGGATGCAGTGGAGTTTCACTGTTTTTCACCAGCTGAGATCCTGGTCCCAGAAGTGGTTGAAATGGAGGAGAGTTAGGGGAGAGTTAGGGCAATAGGCAAGAGCTGGATGGGGACATCTGCTTAATCATGTGTTCTCTAAGCACTTATCCTGATTTTTCACTTTCTCATTTCTGAACCACATAGAACAAGTATGTACTGTTTTACAGACTGTTTAGCCCTTGCTGTCTGGTACAGAAAAGGTTAATGACTGCAAACATACTGCAGGAATGAAGATACACCCCAAATATTTTTGGGAAGCTGCAGTATTAGAAACAGTTTGCTGTAGATCACTGCAGGTGAACCTTTATAGCTAAGCTATTTGGGTGCTAATATTTCCTTTGAGATGCTCCCATGTGTTTACTTTTAAAGATGTGTAAACCCCACTGAAAATACTCACAATGGGTGACCAAACATTGTACCACTGCTAGAAAATAAATTTAAATAAAATAAGGTCCTTTGTGCTGTATGTTAAATGCACATTCCTAATCCTAACTTCATTCACCGGGTACGTAGCTGAGTCCCTCTAGCGGCATCAACATTTACTTGGCTTCAGCACGTTATTAAAATTCTATTTTAGAGCCACATTATAGCAGCAAATTCACAGGTAGCTTTTCTGGACACTCTGAGGACTGTGGCAAAGTGAATATTGGATTAGATACTGTGCAGGCTAGTGTTAATGAATGTAAATTGATTTTTAGCTGTGAGGGGCAATTACAGATGCAGTGGAAGGAGAAGGGGATTTTTGAAAGGATAGTCAAGAACTAATTACTATTAGTAAGGAACACGCAAAGAGCAACGTAATACCCAGGGCAGCCAATAGGGATAAAAGCTTATACACAAATCTGTCATGACCTAGTAGTGAAGACTGTTTAAAAACACTGATCTCCACTTAGCTTGTAAATGCGCATCACCCTCTTTCTCACTCATATATTCTCTCTCTCTCTCTGACACACACACACACACGCTCCTGGATTTGCAGCAGACAGCCATCTAGGGCACTTCTTGGCATCCACAGGAAAATCATATGGGATTAAAAAACCACAGCAGTAAGTACTCACTGCATTAAATGTTTATTAAGTGGCATGCTGTCAAAACCTAGATGTAATAGTAAATACAGGAGGACTTTAATGGAAATTGCTTGTATTTGATTTTTCTTAGGAATTGCTGAAAGCTGCCTCTCAAGGATTACAACTTTGCCTTTTGCTTTTACGGATGCTTGTTTACTATCCATGTGGTAACCGCTGGACAGCCAGTAATCCATTCATTATCCACACTGATTGAGTGCAGGAGTAGTGCAGTGGTAACTACTTCACTCAGCTGACGGCAGATGACAAAAGGAGGGAAATGATGAATTCGGACAATTTAACCTCCCAAAGCTTCCTCTCTGCAATTCACAGCAATGCGAGCAATTTATTCTCAGGGCTCCAGTTTGTTCAGACCTTCAAGCCACTCATCATCCCCTGCTACTCACTAGTGGTTTTTATTGGTGTCATTGGGAATTACCTTCTCATTTATGTTATCTGTAAGACAAAAAAAATGCACAATGTCACCAACTTTCTGGTAGGCAATCTGGCTTTCTCAGATATGCTCATGTGTGCAACCTGTGTTCCCCTGACACTCGCCTATGCTTTCGAGCCCAGAGGATGGGTGTACGGGCGTTTCATGTGCTACTTTGTTTTCCTGATGCAACCCGTCACTGTGTTTGTGTCCGTCTTTACCTTGACCGTCATAGCTGTGGATAGGTATTATGCCATGGTGTACCCATTCCGCAGGAGGCTCACCATCCCTATTTGTGCTTATATCCTGGCTGCTATTTGGCTGCTGAGCTGTACCTTGGCTGCCCCAGCCTTGGTCCACACTTACCACGCAGAGTTCCCAGAACTGGACTTCTCCATTTGCGAGGAGTTTTGGTTCCACATGAAAAGAGATCGCTTAGCTTATGCCTACAGCACTCTCATCATCACCTACGTGCTGCCTTTGGCTGTCATCTCACTGTCCTACCTGAGAATCTCGGTCAAGCTGAAAAACCGTGTGGTCCCAGGCAACGTCACCCAGGGCCAAGCTGAGTGGGACCGAGCAAGGAGGAGAAAGACTTTTCGCTTGTTAGTTTTAGTGGTGGCAGCCTTTGGAGTCTGTTGGCTGCCTCTGCACATCTTCAACATGATAAAGGACATAGACATCAGCTTGATTGACAAGCAGTACTTCAACTTCATCCAGCTGCTCTGCCACTGGTTTGCAATGATGTCTGCTTGTACCAATGCCTTCCTCTACGCCTGGCTCCATGACAGCTTCAGGGGGGAGCTGAAGAAAATGTTTGCTTGGAGAAAGAAAAAAATTGGACCCACTACAAACTGCATTATGGCCAGTGTGGTGCTGTAAACGAGAGCTGGTGGGAGTGCACCTCCTTTGTATGGTAACACTGTAAGTCATTTCCATTTTTAATCAGTCCTGGCTCCTGACGTTTGTCCTCAGGGCTCAGTTATAACAACACAAGTCCCATGCGTAGGTTCCCCAGCATCTCCACTCCTACTGGAGAAGGAGAAGCAGACATCACATCCCCAAAATGTCTTTACCTCTTTGACAGGAGTTAGGGGCCAAGGAGGTGTTAGCACGATAAGATACCCTTATGTAACTACAGGGATCCCTCCTATCTCTTTTGGATATTGCTGGCAGTACGGACATGGGATTTGGGGACAGGGAGAAGCAAGGATGAATATGAGACCTAAATATCTCAGTGAGGAAGTGCCTTGGATTGGGTAAAAATTAAATCTGCATATCTACCCAGAGTCCAGTCCTTAGCCCAGGATCCAGGGTGGAGGACTAACAACATTCCTGTAGTCCTCTTGGGTTAGGGCCACGCTGAAGAATAGCCTAAGGCTCTCTGAAATGCCCTTCCTGAGCAGTTGTCTCAGCTGTGGGCAGAAAACCAGGTTAGTAGGAGCTGCTCCAAGCCTCCCTGGGTGGGATGTGCTGTGTCTGCCCTGCATGGTTTCCCCCCTCACTGCCATCTTCTTGCCACTGGCCAAGTGGATGGAGTGGTAGCCTTTGCAGCAGGGCTGCTCACCTGCCCGCTGTGGCCAACCACATTGGGCAGGAATCTGTGCTTTGTGTTTTTTGAACCCAGCATCACCATGCAATCCCAAAGCTCCCGTGTCTCGTGAACCTGCAGCGCAGCATGTAGCAAGGTGAGATGCAGCATTGCGAGAGGGGCAATAAAACCGGAGTGATGTTATTTCTGCGAGGTGCAACTGCAATGCAGTGTGCGCAACAGCCTGTTTGGTGGATTTGCTGATGCTGTCATCAAGGATGGACAGACTGGAGACATAATGCGTGGTGGAAAATCATCCAGATAGGTGGACATTAAGACATACCACCACTTTACCGACACTGAATTGTGTTCTTGCCATTGTCTCATGTAACCCCAATTTGCTGACCCTACTGCAAGTCAGCTGCATTCCCAGGCACAGGAGTGGATGTCACTGTAGCCTTGTCAGTGCTGAGATGCTTTCCACTCATTCCTTGAGAAACCGATTCTGATGTGTGGCAGTGCTGCCATCAGGTTTGATCTCCAGAGACAGCCAGAGACTTCGATACTGTCTTCAGGAGCACTTCTGGATGTGTCTGTTAAAAGGCAGTGGATGGAAGGGGCTGTTGACATTGAGCCATGTATGAACATTGCATGACCGGTCAAAGAAAGACCTGTCAAACAGAGCAGAGTGGCAAGTGCTCTCTTTTGAAGGAGTCTTTTGGGAAGAAACAATTTCCTTTGACATTCACCTTTCAATCAAATGATAGAGTTAGAAGCTATAATCAACCTAATGGTTTCTAGTTTCTTCCTCCCTGAACCGAAAATAACTGAGATAATAGATAAGCACATGGGACAAAGTTCTGAAAGCAGACGTTGTTTCTGAAAAGGTTTCTTCCAGCCTGCTCAGCCAGAATCTGGGATGGCATGAGGAACTGCCTGATACCGAGCTGAGATCAGCTGGAGAAGCAGTGCAATCCAGGGGCAGTTTGGGCCATGGTCTGCAAGGGCATATATTTGACCACAATTGCACAAGGCCAGAAACATATGACCTGCGAGGCAATGCAAATAGACAAGAGGGGAGAGGGAAGAAAGAGAGGATGGTTTCTCTAGTTTGTAAATATACTCCTACTGTGAAACTGTAAATATCATTTTGCTCATCAGCATTCAGTAAGCATAATCTAGTTAAAAAAATACACAGATGCATATGCACACACTGGGAAAAGCATTGCAAAAACATTTGAAATCTCTTTTCACAAATTTCCTTAGGATTTCAAGCTGTTCTGCTGCTAGCAATGAGGAACTGGATATTAGAAATTGATTACAGAGACACTGAATCAAGGAGGTCCTTTTAAAGTCGGCATGACTTGCGTTCACTGTGTGATTAAGTGTATCTATCTGCCTTGCTTACCTTGATTTAAAGATTTGAATGACCTATTAAAGCATGTTTTGCTTTTGCTGAATTTTAGGAAATTGTTTTTCCTTCAAGCTCAATATAGCAAGTTACTGGAATAACTGGTAATTTTGAAAAGGCAAAAAAATCCCTTCCAAACAAACCAGCCAAATTTTATAAGCTTTTCAGCTTTTGTTTCAGGGCTTTTTTGAAGAGAACAGAGAGTAGGACACCAAGAGAGCACTGAAACAACACTGCAAAAAGCAGCTTTAAATAACGACAGAATCCTGATTTTTAGAGATTTTTCTTGTATGGAATTATGTTACTTCAAGCTGTTAATTTGTCAGTTTGTAAAGGTTAATTAGCATTGAGATGGCCCATAATGTTTACAATCATCTCATGCACTAAATACAGACAGCACTGTAATCTGGAGTGATCCAAAGCCCAGTGGAGTAACTGGGAAGACTCTTGTTAACACAGCAGGCCTGGGATCATTTCCTTCTTGTATATCATGTTTTTCCTCTCATTTGCCGGCACTGCAGTTTGGCTTATTAATGTTCTCTTGAATGTTAGTGACTGCAGATGGCTGCTGCAGAGAGCTGCACGAAGCAAACAAGAGGGATCGCTCGCTCTCTTTTTTTTTTTCTTTTTTCTTTCTTTCCTTGAGACAGAAATGAAGGGCTGTTGAGTGCATATATTGCTCCCACAGTGAGGGACGCACTGGGAACATCTCGCTACCAGCAGCCTCTGGAGCTGCCGTTACAGCAATGCCAAGGTCTGTCATCTCAAGGAGGTCCTCAGGAGTGCCCAGCACAGCTGGGACCCTCGCTTAAGTGCTGGTTTAACCTGTACTTGCCTCGAATCTGTCAGGACTTGCATTTGCACTAGAAAGCTCAGAGCCTTTGTTTCAGGCCCTACTAGGTTTTGCAGATGGGCTGTGAAATGATCTGCATTCCCCAGCGTGGGCTCCTGAAGCTCTTCTCTCTCCTCAGCAGCCCCCTTGGCCCATCTCAGTGGTCCTGCAAGGCCGTTTTTACAGGTTTTCCCTGCACGGTGCACAAAGGAGGTCCGGCCCCAAGCAGCAGGGCTGGGGGTGCCGCAGGCTGGCGGGGACCGAGGCGCAGCCGTGTTTGCTCAGCCCCATCTCTGAATCGAGTCCCAAGAATCTCTGCTCAAAGTAATTACTGTTTTCTCTGATATCCAGAGTAATAAACAATAATAAGATTTAAAGGCACGTTGGTGCACTTCTTTAATCCAGTTATGCAAATAATTATATTAAAAGCTGTCATGTGAAATGCATTTTCTAATCTCCACCCCTCTCTGGGGAACTGCCGTGGCTCTCTGAGGGACCAGCGATCATCACTACGGTATTTTTGGTGGTATAATTTTTAATTATAATTTAAGAAATCATTGCATGCTTTGATTTTACAAAGTAGCCCAGATCAAAACTTGATGAACATATTAACTTTCCCTGTAAGGGTTTTAGTTGTTGTTTCTTGCTTACATTCAAATCCAAGACTCGCACACTGCCAGACAGCTGCTCTGCAGGGATGGAGCAGGATTTGCGTCTGAGCTGAGGTATGGCAGAATGCTCTACGTTCCTCATCTGCTGGGATTTCATTCCAGTTGTTTAAATGTACTGCGAGACTTTTAGCAGGTAGAACCAGGTGTTCTGCATTTTACAGCAGCAAAACCATGCTATTTATGATGGCTTCTCAGACTGTTCCTGAAGGACAGTCTCTCGTAAACACTTCTAGATGTACTACCGAGTTTGTACACATGCTCTGTGGTGGTGTTTTCAGGTAGATATCAACTGCATTAGCCAGCAAGTGGGTTATCAGAGCATGGTGAGTCTTGGGCTTTGGAAATGGAGGGCCCACTTAGGACCACACTTACTCATTGTAAAAATCATCTGGGAGATTTCACCGGGGCCAAGCCTTTACAGCTCAGAAGGCTCTGCATATCTTAAATTATATGAAAGATTAATAGAGATATAGAAGGAGTTGATGGGGAAAGGCAGGGGAGAGTGAGATGTCTTCACTTAAAGTGAAGTGCACAGATTTAGATAGCAGGAATCACAGCTTCACAATTTGAAATTATTCTGCATAGCTGTTGGAAGGACTCACAGAGCATCGTTCTAGCAAATGCACTGTATTTCTAATGTTTACAGATGCAGAAATGCTTGATCAAACATAAGCTGCTCCCTACGGTCAAATGTGGGATTGGTATTAAATGGCAATGTACTTATGAAACACATGAAAAAGTAAATCAGTATTCGATCAGGAATTTAAAAACAGATTAGATGATAGTGAACAAAGGTCACTAAATCTGAAATCAAGCAGCCAAAGAAAAACAACAGTTAATCAAACCTCAGTTAGTTAGGGTCAGGCACAGTTGGTATCTCCCCAACCTTGAAAATGGCAGCTCAGAGCAGCCACCAAAGACTAACTTGTTTGTACAAAGCATTGCGTTAAATAAATTTTCCTTATACTTGGATGAAGCAAACTGTAAGAAAGAGTTGTATTTGTGTCATATTTGGGGAATGGCAGTTTATCTGGGATGGGCAAAAGCAGATCCTGCCATAAGGCTATTACTCACAGTAGCATGGTGAGTTCTTCCCAGCTGATAGATAGACTGGGAAAAGCTGGTATTTTTCATAGCAGCTGAACAACAGATGCTCTGTACAGTTTTAATTGAGCAAATCTTGCTTGTTGAGGTGTCAACAGTGAGTTATAATTAGATGTCTGAGATTATGCAGGGTACAGATATAAGCTGAAAATGGTACACCTGCAGCTGGGAAAAAAAAAAAAAGCCAAACTGGACAGAACTGTACAATGCATCCATCAATCTGCCCACCAGATGAGAAGAGGGCAGAGAGAGAAACAATGTGCTGGTGGTAAAGCCACTGCTGTCTTTGCCATTTCTGTATGAAGAAATATAATACAAATTTTTACCTCCAGCCCTCCCCTCTCACTGCCAATA